TTTCCATCTGTAAATGGATCTCAGCGCATGCATTCTTATAAATGGAAGACAATTTGGAGCAAGCTCTGACCTAAAGGGAAACAGCAGAATCTCCATGGAGTTCCTGAGCCTGACCCCTCACTACATCTCCCTCCCAGACAGCGCGGGAAAGAGCCTGCGCGCACAGCGCAGCAGCTGGGACCCAGGACAGCGCCCCCATCCGCATACCGTCCAGCAGTCCCCCTCCCTGGCGCCCCAGCAGATCCAGCCTCTCTCCGCCTGGGAGGCAATGCCAAGCCGCCTGTGCGCGTGCCAGAGGCCCTCACCGGGGCAGAAACACAAACTTACCTCTTCCCTCACCCATCCCCCCAGCTCCCCGACCCGGTCCTGCTCCCCTCCGCCATCTTCCAGGAGGCTCAGGGTCCCTGGACCTGCTAGAAAGTGACGCCGACGTCGCCTGCAGAGGCTGAACCCGAGACCCAGCCTCCCCAGCTTCCGCCCCGGGCACCCAGGCACCTCGCGGTCAGCAGAGAGGAGCGGAAGCCGCGACCCCTCACCCGGAGTGACCGGAAGCAGAAGACCACGGGGTGTCCGAGGCGGGACAAAGGGGAGGGGCGGGGAAGAAGGGAGGGATGATGCGTTCAGACTCGCTTGAGAGAGATTTCCAGGAGGCGAGGGTCCCTGCCCTGTGCTCACCGCCTGGCCCCGGCCTGCTTCGGCGGCAGAAGCTGGACCAGGGGGCCCGGCCCTGCGCGCCAGTGACGGGCAGGAGGCCTGAGTGCAGAGTGGCCCGCTGCTCTGAGCACCAGCTCTCCGCCGCGTCTAAGACACCCGGGCTGCTGTGAGCTCCTGGCCTCTCCCCACCCTTCGCCCCCGAGCTCTGCCCTGCAGGCCCTGGGCCGAAAGTTGGGGAACTGCCCGCGATTGGTGGCCGTGGAACGTCCCCTGGGGTGGGGTGGGGGTCCCCCATAGCCACCTCTGCCCCTGAGTTGCCATCCACATGTCCTAGATGTAGGATGGAGTGGGGGGAGAGAGGCGTCTGAGAGTTTGGGGCGTCATCTCAGGC